AAGGCGGAGAGCAGTGTTGACTTACTCACTCTCTCCCTATACCGTCAGGTATACAAGGCGGAGAGCAGTGTTGACTCACTCACTCTCTCCCTCTACCGCCAGGTACATAAGGCGGAGAGCAGTCGACGCCACGCTTGTCTGTCCCTGGCCACGTCCTCCAATCTCGGCACATCCAGGCCCTGGGTGATTGCCTCATCTCTTATTGTGCCTCTATAGCTTCCAGTTGGTCTTCCTCGTTTATTGTTTCCCGTTGTTGTCCAATACCATGTCTGATAGGGCAATCTCGTCTTCGGCATTCTTAGAACATGTTCAAGATATTTCCATTTTTTTCTCTTTTTCATTGTTGTGTTGATATCTTCAATCCCAGCTATTTCCAACACTGCTTTATTTGTGATAAATGTATTCTATTTTATTTGTCAAATTCTTCGTAAACGTTTTGTTTGGAAGCTTTTTAATTTTTGTTGAATTGTTAAGTTCGTTTTCCGTATCTCTGAACCATACGTCAATACAGCCAAAATACTGTTCTTATATATTATTTAAAATTTCTTCTTCAATGAAATGACTTCCATATAGTTTTTTAATTTCACAAAAGCGATCAACGCATTTTTATGGCTTTGGTGGACGTCGTCAAGGCACTCTACAGGGTTTTAAAAAATATAATGCTGCCAAGGTATTTGAATGTGCTCATTTCTGCAACAAATGCGGCCCTGAAAAAGTACCTCTCGCATTGATGTGTGAGACTCAAGCTCGGTTCCTGAATGAAGATATCACTTTCTCCAGTATCTCGGTTTTTCCACAGGGATGTTGTAGACCTCTCAGCCCGGATTGACCCTGGCAGGCAAAGTCAGAAGGCCACCTCTTGAATTGTGTCCATGAGGGTGTTTTCGTTTTAGTAGAGGTTTTACGGCGCTCGCAACTGCATAAGGTCATAATAATTATGAGCGCCGATGGGTGGATGTCAACAGGAAAGTCCAAACGGGGAATCAGGCTTACTCTGCTCACCTCTCTAGCCTCAACAGCACAAAGGCCCCCCGGAAATAGCAGTTCACAAGAGAGCGACAAACATACAAAAGAAGTAGAGGAAAAATGACGATAGTAAGGATGAGGAAAGAAAAAGCAGCAGCTCCCCTTATGTTGTTCCGGCACAGTATGAGCATGACATTGATAAAACAGCCTATTTACAATCCCACTGTGCATAAGGACATGTTAATGTCCCCCCTTTGGGAATGGCTTAAAGACACCTTCAGTCAGTAGCACTGCCCTGGGAGGGGTTTGTAAAAACAAGAACATTGTTTCCAACTCCAAAAACACAAAGACAGCAGTCTGTCCTGTCCTGACTCTGTGGCCCAAGCTAAGGAATTGATGAAACGTTTGTGTAAGATATGTACCTGTGGTGGGTCCAGGGGCGGTGAATCTGGAGCAGGTCGGGGGTCCCTGAACCTGTGACTGGCTGAACGATGACCGCTGATTGGTCGGGTCTAGGCCGGACGCGAGCTGGTCAGGGCAATGACCTCTCAACCGGCGACTGGGGAGGGGGGGGTGGTAGTCAAGGACCTGAGAGAATCGAGCCTCCATGGGTGCAGCCTAGCAGTTCTAACAAAGGTTCTCTTGTGGATAATCTTATGATATAAACCGTGCCCGTTGGCAGCCTTGATCTGG